GGGGGGGGGGGGGGGGGGGGGGGGGGGGGGGGGGCAACAGGCAGGACTCCAGGAAGGGATTAATAAAGCAGAAGGCCTGTTATTGTGGTCGCCCTGGGAATGGTTGATTATAATGGCATAACTTGCCCTTGTTTATCTGCCAGGAAGGAGCGAGTGCCTGGCCAGCGTCTTCAGCGCTGCAGGTTCTGTACATCCAATAGCAGCCATTAGATCCTGGCTTTCAGGCCTTGGCTGGGGGGGGCTGGGAGAGGGGAGACCATAGCAAGGGGAATATTGGCCCCTGAAAGTGGAGCTTCTGGATGGGAAGCGGGGGGAGGAACGGGGGTGGGGGCAAACAGGAGAAACCGGAGCCCCCTTAATCTCTGCCGCAGCAGCATGGTCCTCCTTGATCCTTAAGAAGGAGCCGCCTTGGGAAACCCCAGCGCCCACTGAGGTTGGCACCTTCGGGGTTGGACGAGGTGCCCAGTGAGGCTTTTGTCTGTGTGAAACCAGAACCTCTTGGAGGGTGGACCGTTGTCTCCCTCCCCACCCAGCAAACCTCTCCCTCTGTGTGTGTGTGTGTAGTTGCTCTGTTAGGTGGGTTTGCTTTGTTTGGCTTGGCAGTGGCTCCTTGTGGGCTACCCTGAGAAGTTCTCCCCCCGCCCCCGGCCCCTGGATGATCTGCCTCTTTTCTGGCTGGAGATCTGTGGATCTCTTCCTTAGATGTTCCTTACCTTGGTTCTGTGGCGGGGGTGTGTGCAGGGGGGTGCTGATCCAGGCTGGCGGGATGGCCATCCTCCCTGGGGCCCAGCAAAGGGGCTGTCTGGAGGGCAGAGAGAGAGGAGCTCTGGGCACATCGGGCTCCTGCTGTCCTTGCAAGGAAGAACCGGCCTGGAGTAACTCGGGGGGACGGGGGACTTGGGGGGGAACGCCCCGCCACCTGCAGAGGACTTGGGCATCCCTCCTTATTGCAGGAGGAGGTCCTTTCCGTCCAAGGAGGAGCCCAGGAAGTGGGCTGCAGCTTTTGTGCAGGTGCCGCTTTCCAGGTGTTCTGCCAACAGATGTCTGGTGCCCTTCCAGCAGATTCATCATGGCGCAGTGATGGGGGGGGGTGTTTCAGGTGAGCCATTTGCTCAGGGACTCACCTGGAGTCTGATAGGCCTCAAGTGACAGAGCCCCCCTCCCCTCCCCCTCCATTTGGGACCGAGGGGCTTTGTCTCTGTTCTGCGGAGCCGCGGTCGGTCTCCATGTTCGTGACTAGAAAGCGCTGCCGGTTTGGACACCATTCAGCACAGATGACAGATCAAAAGAGTTTCAGCTGAACGGATAAGGCCAGAAACCATCTTGGAGAAACGTGGGCTACCTTGGCTCCGTCGCCTTATTTGAGCTGCCCCTCGGAGGCCTGGGTGCTGCTTGAACCCTTCGGCTACCATTGCTGCGCTGGTGACCGACGGGGTTTGGGGCATAACCTGAAATCCAGCTTGCACCACTGAAGCCCTACCTGCAAGGCTTCAGGACCGTCTCTCCTGCCAGCAGCTTCCTTGGTCCCTGTGAGACTTATGGGTGGAGGGGGCAGTGTACCCCAGTGAAATCCCAGGAGTGGGGCTGAAGAACATGCCTATCTAGGCCTCCCTATGGAGAGGGAACCTCTGTTTCCTCCCTTACGTTCCCCAAAGACGGGGTGCTCCTTGTTCCACCCAGTACTGGGGCCTCAGGTGTGGCCTGCCTCTTAGACAGCTGCTTAACTTCACCTTCTCTGCAGGCAGGAAGAAAATAGGTTGCAACTGGGCCATTTGCTGGGGAGGACAACAGCCTGCATGAATTGACTATACAAGGAATTTACCTGGAATCCTGTTGTTGACGTTATAAGCACTTCCTGTGCTTGGGAGGAAGCAGGCATGGCTGTGGAGGTGGCTTTAAAGTGTGGCTTTCATGTGCCCTGACCTTGCTTTCCATCCTTCTGAGACCTCAGTTTTGACAGGCTGGGGGTCAGCAGTTTCTGGGGGTCTTTGGCCTTGCAGGACAGCCTTTGCGCGGATTTACATTGATCAATGGCCAGCCAGGCAAGGAATATTTTGGATGCCGGGTTTAGATCTGTGTTTTTCAACCTTGGCTACTTCCGGATGTGTGTGGACTTCAACTTCCCTGGCTGGGGAATTCTGGGAGTCGGAGTCCACACATCTTCAAGTGACCAAGGTTTAGAACGGGGGCCTCCAACCTTGGCAACTTTACAGACTTGTGGACTTCAACTCCCAGAATTCCTCAGCCAGCAAAGCCAGGAAAGGCAAAGTCTGGCTGAGGAATTCTGGGAGTTGAAGTCCACAAGTCTGTAAAGTTGCCAAGGTTGGAGGCCCTTGGTTTAGAAACACTGTTTTTAGTTAACCTTTTGTGAGCAGGTAATTCTCACCTTGGGGCCCAAAGTTTCTGTTCCTGAGTGAGACATTTGTTAAGTGAGTTTTGCTCCTTTCTATGACCTTTCTTCCCAGAGGTGTTAAGTGAATCCCTGCAGCTGATACGTTAGTAACACGATTGCTAAATGAATCTGGCTTCCCCCCAAGCACTTTGCTTGTCAGATGGTCACACAAGGGGATCACGTGACCCCAGGACACTGCGACCATCATAAATACAAGTCCGTTCCCAAAGCGTCCACATTTTGCCCAAGTGACCGTGGTGCGGATGTTGCAATGATCGTCAGAGTGAAAAAGGGTCATGAGTCATTTTTTTGATGATAGATAGAATTCTTTATTGGCCAAGTGTGGTTGGACACACCAGGAATTTGTCTTTGGTGCAAATGTTCTCAGTATACATACAAGGAAAGATACATTCATCCAGAGTCAAGAATCATCAGGTCCAGCACTTGATGATAGTCATAGGGTACAATAAGCAATCAAATCGTACTAGGAAACAGTATAAATCGTAAGGATACAAGCAGCAAAGTTACAGTCACAAGTGGGAGGGGGTCAGCGATAAGGAGTGATGAAAAGATTGATAGTGATAGTAGTGCAGACTTTGTCAATAGTTGGACAGTGTTGAGGGAATTATTTGTTTAGCAGAGTGATGGCGCTTGGGGAAAAAACTCCCTTTGCGTCTAGTTGTTCTGGTGTATAGGGCTCTATAGCATTTTTTTGAGGGGAAACAGTTTATGTCCAGGATGTGAGGGGTCTGTAAATATTATCACAGCTCTCTTTTTGACTCGTGCAGTATATAGGTCCTCGATTGAAGGCAGGCTGTTAGCCATTGTTTTTTCTGCAATCCTAATTATCCTCTGAAGTCTGTGTCCATCCTGTTGGGTTGCAGAGCCAAACCAGACAGTTATAGAGGTGCAGATGACAGACTCAATGATTCCTCTGTAGAACTGGATCAGCAGCTCCTTGGGCAGTTTGAGCTTTCTGAGTTGGCGCAGAAAGAACATCCTTTGTTGTGCTTTTTTGATGACGTTTTTGATGTTAGGTGTCCATTTTAGGTCTTCTGATATAGTAGAACCTAGAAGTCACTTTTTTCTGTGCCACTGAAACTTGGAATAGTCACTTAACGAATGGGTTGTAAGTTGAGGGCTACCTCTATTGTTTTGAGGGAATGTTAATAATCGAATTAAAAAATAGGAAACGCAAAGCAACTTCCTGGCTGCAGTGATTCAGTCTCTGCAGTCCTTTCCCAGTGAG